CAGTTAGAGCCCATGAGATGGCTATGTTAACCATAGTTTGATTTGATTTATCTTGGCTGCTAGTTATGTATTTTATTTTTATTGTTGGTTGTATTTCAACTGCTCTTAGCTGCCCAAAGTCACCATAGTGAAATGGGTGGCTGTATAAATTGAATTAAATAAATAAATAAACAGAAATATTCAATAACATATTTTATTTCTGCAGAAGATGATCATAAATTATATTGGTCTGCTTCATAATTTAGGACATACTTAGTTAAATTACTAAGAGTTGAAGGCCTAAATGTCTTCTAATAGTTACTGTAAAATTATTCTAGGCTGCTATCTCAGAGATATAAGAACTGGCAATTAATCCACTTAGCTCACTAGATTTTAGATCTTGTCAGACATGCATAAGAAGGCACTGTTGGTATGCTATTTAAAAATATTTACAGTTGCTATATTGGCCACTGCATAATAGCTGAAAACAACTGTAGCATCCAAATTTAATGACAGGCTTATAAGAATATGGGAATGAATGTTGCTGATACAATTAATTATACAATAGGATAGCAGAATTCAGGTAAAGAAAGATTTCCATAAACATGGTTATTGTTTTGGAGCAATATATTTCAATTAGATAGGTAGATAATCTTTATTACAGTCCCTGATGTGAAGGTATATTTCAGTTATGGTACAGCTTTATGTACCATACGTGAAGGCAGAAACAGACCTTAGGATAGGTTTTGGCCTAGGATGTGGTGAGGGAAGTCAAAATCTTGGAGAATAATGTTTGTGTTTTCTATCCCCTTTTCTGCAGTCAAGCAATGAGAATGAATAGTATAGTGAAGTTTTACCAATCATTCAGTATTGCAAAAGTGCTCAATATAACAATGGATATTTGCAGAAGTGGGAGAAAGGCAAAACAGTAATAGTAAAACAGATGATAGTTTTGTTGCTCATGTGAATCCAGGTCCTAGCTTCTTCAACAAAACTTGAATGGAACAACTATAGCTTGGAGTTGCATTCAGCTATCACCACAATGTTACATATTTTCTTTTCACTGAACTCAGTGAAATTACTCAGAGCCTTTTTCAAAGATTCCTTCACTTCTTTATTCCTCAAGGTGTAAACAAGAGGATTGACCATGGGAGTTAAGATGGTGTAGGGGATAGAGAAAACCTTTTTAACATCTCTGAGTGTGCCAGTGTCTGGTAAAATATAGACAATCATCAGAGTTCCATAGAAAATGGTGACCACAATGAGGTGAGAGGAACATGTGGCAAATGCTTTTTGTCTTCCAGTGGTGGATGGAATTCTCATAATAGCAGTAATGATACAAACATAAGATGCAATGGTTAGAATGAATGGGGGCAGAATATCAATGGATCCAAATATGAGAGCTAAAATTCTGACATGGCTTGTGTCTGTACAAGAAAGTTGGAGCAGTGGGCTGAAGTCACAGAAGAAATGATCAATTTCCTTGGGGCCACAGAATGATAGTTGTGCTACTAGACATATGATTATCACTAAAATTGATGCTGCACATAACCATGATGATGCTATGCAAACAAAAATGACTCTATTATTCATAATCATGGAATAATGCAATGGTTTGCAGATCGCAACAAACCTATCATAAGACATCACTGACAGGAGGTAACATTCAACAATAACAAGGCAACCAAAACAAAACAATTGCATGAAACAACCCCAGATAGAAATTGATTTGCTATCCTTTAGGAAATCTGCAATCATCTTGGGTAGGATGGTTGAACTGTAGCAAACTTCCAAGCAGGACAAATTTGCTAAGAAATAATACATAGGAGTATGAAGATTCTGCTCAGATACGATCAGGATGATAATCAAAACATTTCCAGTTATAGTCAAAGTATAGATCATGACAAACACCAGGAAAAGAAGCATCCAGAATTCTTCAAGTTTCCCAAAACCCAATAAGATGAATTCTGTGATGTCTGTGCCATTTTCCCCTTTGTCAAAACCACTGATCTGCATCTGGAGGAAGAGTATCATATCAATGATTTCTGAATCTGTAGAAATATTATTATAATACTATGATAACTGGAAATTCATGTTATTATGCATTAGCAAGAGACTGTTTCACTACTAAGACTGAAAACAACAGCTTTTCTACAAATCAATTTAAATTATTATTATTTTATCTATACATTATTTATTAGTGGAAGATTAGTTTATTGATTTGTTGAATAAGCCACAATTGGCTGTGTTCACAGAAAGTGCTACGTTTGTCACCATCATTCCTGGTTCACACAGTATAGTAAGCCAAATCCATGCAAGCCACATCCCAGTTCAAGGCAGTGTGGGAACTCAGCTTGTGGGTGCTTCAGAGAGGGAACAGGAACATAATCTCCTGAAAATAGCAAATAACCTTCAAACTATATTTTAGAATTTTAACACAGAAAATGGTATGGGTTGTCTGTATGTTTGCTAGTTTCTGTTTTGTTTTGTTTTCTGAACAAGGGCAACATTCATTCTATCCCTTGGAGATACTAATAGAGGTTCCATCTCCCGCCTTAAGATTCTCTCTCTCTCTCCTCCCCCCCCGTCCCCCGTGCTCACTTACTAAT